CCCCCCCCCCCCCCCCCTGCCTGCGCATCGCCACACACTATGTCGCCCAGAAATAGACCTCCCTCCCCTCCCAGCGTGTTGCCCGGATCTGATGCATTTCCCCGGGCCGGAAGGGGCCCCAGCCGGGAGAACATGGGGGCCCGGCGGCGAGGAGCACGCCAAGTGGCTCATGCTAGGGCACCGGCCGCGCGCGCCGGGCCCATGGCAGCACCCCGGTGAAGAGCCCCGTGTCGCAGTGCGCCAGCAGATCCGCCATCTCCGGCGCGGCGGCCATGTACCCCCCGATGCCGGCCACCGCGCGCCGGTGCGGGTCCCGCTGCAGGCGCTTGCGCAGCAGGGATCCCGGCGCCAGCGGAGGGAGGCCCGTTTCCTCGCACGGCAGGGCGCCGGCGGACGCCGGTCCGTCGGTGGTGGCCGCCAGGTCGGCTGGCCCGGCGGCCGCGGCGACAGCGGCAGCGGTGCTCGATCGCGCAGCCATATGGTCAATGGCCACCGGCACCAGCCCCGGCGGCCCGGCGGACCGACCCTCCGCCAGCCGCCGAGCGGCGTGAAGCGTGTCCGCCCCGCAGCCATAGGGGTCCCGAGCGAAGGGGGCCCGGGCGAAGTGCTCCTCGAAGCGGTCGTCCTGGCCGGGCCCGGTGGCCACGGCATCCAGGCCGATGTAGTGGAAGCCGGCGCGCGGCCAGCGCATGGCCCGGCGGTGCTGGCCCACAAAGCGCCGCCGCTTCAATTGCAAGCCGACCACCGTCACCCGAGCCGGATACTGCATGGTGAAGGCACGGAACCGGGCCACCGAGAAGAGGAGGTTCTCCAGCGAGTCGCGCGCGAACTCCTCGGTGGTCAGCCGCCGCAGGACCGGCAGCCGGACGCCAGCGGCCCCCCCGGTGCCGGCCTGCTTGGCCGGCGCCTCGGTGCCGGCCAGGCCAAATCGCAGCAGCGTGCTGGCCGCCAGCCAGTAGGACGCCCCCTCGGACCGGATGGCCGCCCCGCCCGGGCCACCGGCCGGCCGGGTGGCCGAGCCGCTGAAGATGACCACCGCCTCGGGATCGGCCGCGGCCTGGTCCAGCGCCCGGCCAATGTGCCCGACTATGGCCGCCACATAGGCCGCCGGTTGGATGTGCCCCGGCAGGCTGCCCAAGTCCCAAAGCCCCGGCTGGAGGAGGGCCTCGCGCGCGGCCGCCGCCGAGTCCAGCACATCCGGCGACCCCAGCCAAATGCCCAGGCAGGGGACCATGACCAGGTGCGTGGCCGGGCCGGCATGGCCGGCCGCCACCGCTGCCACTGCCCCCCGCTGCCATGCCAGCAGCGGGAAGGCCCGGGCAGCCGGGTCATATGGCTGCGCATGTCGCTGCTTCGGCTGCTGCTGTTGCAGGGCCACGGCCGCGGCCAGCAGCGCATCCCCGGCCCCCGGTGGCAGATCCTCCTCCAGGGCCTTGTGCGCCAGGGCCACCTGCTCCAGGCCAAGCCGGGCCGCCTGGCGCACGTGGCCCGGGCCGCGCGCCATGGCCTGGAGCAGGTGCCCCTCAAGAGCCCGGGGCCCGGGGGCTCGGCCGGCCAGCAGCCCCATCACCAGGCCGATGGCCAGCCCGGCCCCGGCCGCCAGGAGCACAAGCACCAGGCCGCCCCGGCGCCGAGGGGCCCGCGCTCGCGCGAAGAACCCCCCACCGGCCTTGGCTGCTCCGGTTGGCGAGGGCGCCGCCGAGGTGGTGCCCACTCGCCGGCCATTATCCGCCTGGTACAGCGGCAGTCGGGTCATGCCATGAGCGGGCTTGGAGGGGGGGCGAGCACGAGGGGCGGGAGGGTATGTGTGCCTGAGGGCACCAACGGCATGTAGATGGGCAAGCGTAGGGAAGAGGTGCTGAAGGGGGAGAGAGGGGGAGAGAGAGAGGGAGAGAGGGAGAGAAAGGGGGAGAGAGGGGGAGAGAGAGAGGGAGAGAGGGGGAGTGTACGAGAGACGTCAAACCTGGGAAGCGAGGGGTGGGGCTGTGGGAGGGGCCTGTGATCCCGGCACTTCGGGCAGCCGGTGCCCCTTCTTGAGTGGACAGCCCCCTGGCCGGTCTCTCTCCGCCCCCGCTGCGGTCCGCCCCCCCCCCTCCCTGCCCGGCCGATCTCTGTCTGCCGATCTCGGTCCCTCCTTTCGCACCCCCGCGGCTCGACGTGTCAGCACACGCCCGGCCGTGTCAGTAACGTTGGCACCTGGGCGCTTGATCGAGCCATCTTGTTTTCCGCATTTTCGGAGCCACCCTGCTGGCAATGCAGCCGGCCGACTGCTGGACAACAACTCGACCCCCGCCCCCCTCCGCGCCTCTCTCCTGCTGCTCTTGCACTTTCATTCCTCCCCCCCCCTCCCCCCTGCCAGCCATCGCCGCGTGGAATCGCCCACGGAGACATGCCTAGGCCAGATCGCTCGTCTGAGCTCATTGTGCGCCACCCCAACCTCTGCACCTCCTGGAGCCTGCGCACCTCCTCCGGCCACGGCGCCTGCCCCTGTCGGCCCCGCCCCCGCCCCCGCCCCCGCCCCCGCCCCCGCCCCCGCCCCCGGCCGCTGTTGCCCTCTACCTGCCCCGGCGCCGCGCAGCTTGCCGGCCTGCCCACTCGACTGCCACTGACCCATCCCCACCCATGTAGGCCGAGTATGTGGAGCTGCTGCAACTCCTGTCTGGCCAGCAGGATGCCCCCTCGGCGGCCGCACTCCCGTCAGCTGGCACTGCCTCGGCTCCCGGCGAGGACCTTTGGGTGAAACTCCCGTCCGCACTTGGCCGCTTCGCCCTGCCGGCTGACACGCACGACCCGGGCCACCACACCACAGACCCAGCCCGCAAGGACATAGTGCGTGCAAGGACCCATTCCTTGGGGTCCCTTGGTCTTTCATCCTGTGTCCACTTGCAACGGCGCTGACCAGGAACCCCTCCTTTGCACCCCACCTCCAAAAAAAAAAAACATGCATCCACACGCGCATGCATCCACGCGCGCATGCGTGTCATGCGCTTGCCCCTGGCACCGTGGCAGATCCTGCGACAGCTCACCGAACGCCTGGCCGAACTGGAACACCTTCCCGCCAGCGCCTTTGAGCACGCCTTCGGCACAGATTCCGACATCCTGGGCCCCTCCGCCGCGTATGTCTGCCCGGGCCGCGTCTGATCTCTTTCTTCCCCCCCCCCCCCATCCCCCCCACAGGGCCCCCTCCCTCCTGCCTGGCTTCCCCTCCGCATGTCTGACCAAAGGAGCCCGTCTGCACCTCACAGCGATGTCAAGTCCGCCACGTTAGATTCCTTCGGCCGGAGACTCCGCCACCTGGCCGCCGTGCAGGCAACCCACCACCCAGTGCGCCGCCCTTCCCCTCCCTTCCGCCTTCTCCTCGCAGGCCCACCCGCTCCCCCCAGCCCCTGACATCCACTGGCCTCCAGCAACCTGTGGCCGACCTTCTTCGGCACCTGCCACCGGCCGCCAGCGGGGCGCCGGCCGGGACCGACAGCGGGGCATGGCTCCCAGCCGGGGCCGGACCGCTGACCCGCGCCGACACCGGTGCCCTGGCCCGCGCGGCACAGGCCGCTGCTGCCGGGCGTCTGGCCTCCCTGGTCGAGCGGAGTCGCCATGCGCCTGCCCCCCCGGCCACTGGGGCACCCTCGGAGCCGGACGTCCAGGCGGTTGTGGCCAGCTCTGTTTCCAGTGCACGAGGTGCGGGGCCGCGCCCGCGCCCGCGCCGAGCCCCGCCCGGCCTCACCGACCAGCTCGGCCTGAATGCCGGGACATATGACGCATCGTCGCCGGATGCCCTGGTGGCCGACATGCGCGCCAGCCAGGAGCAGCACCTCCAGCGCCTACAGGCCGCCGCGGTGGAGATGCGCGAGGTGGCCATGTCCATTGCGCTCCAGGCCAAGCGCGATCACCAGGTGCGTGTGAAAGTCTCCCTTGTCGATGGCAGGCCCGGAAGAGGCGAGGACCAGGGGATGGGGGGGGGGGGGGGGGGGGGGGGGGGGGGGGGGGGGGGGAGACCGACATGCATCTGCGCGTGGTGGGTGTGGTGCCGGTTGGTGGGTCTGCCTGTTGACCCCGCGCGCGCGCGTGCCATTCTGCAGACCATCGACTCGGCCATCCAGAACATCGAGCAAAACACCGAAACCCTGGGATCGGCCACCCAAATGGGCAAGGACATCAAGCTGGGTCTCGGGAGCTGGCGTACGGTCATTTGCTCGTGGCTGATCCTCGCGCTGGCGGTCTTGATTTTCATCTTCATGGTTGGCGTCATCTTCTTTTTCTGATGCGCGCCTCGGACAAGGGAACAAATAAAGTGCCTAAAAAGCGCAAGGCCTCGCCTTGTGGCGCACACGATGAGCCCCGGCGCGGGGAGGCGGAGAGAAAGAGGGGGAGAGAAAGAGGGGGAGAGAAGGAGGGGAAAAAAAGAGGGGGAGAGAAAGAGGGGAAGAGAAGGAGGGGGAGAGAAGGAGGGGGAGAGAAGGAGGGGGAAGAGGGGGGGGGAGGGGGGGGGGGGGGGGGGGGGGGGGGGGGAGAGAAGGAGGGGGAGGGAAGGAGGGGGAGGGAAGGGGAAACACAGCACAGTAAAGCAACCACACACACACACACACACACGCGCGCGCGCGCGCGCGCGGGAACATCAGATGTTGGGGTTTATTCCGACCCTTCGGGTTGGCAAAACAACAAGAGGGGCCAGGCGAGCGAGTGGACGGCAACCCGGGAGGGAAGACAACCAACACGGGCACATGGAGTGGAATGCCGCGCAGGGCACACGTGCGCCGCTTAGTACTTCTTCATGAAATCCTGCACGAAGGAGGCAGGCTGGGCGCCGACGAAGGCACCAAGGCGCTTGCCCTCGCGGAAGGCCAGCACAGTGGGCAGGGAGGAAATCTGGTCCCAGGAGCAGGCGCAATCGGCAGAGGAGGAAGTGGCAGAGCGAGAATCGCGGGGGGGGGGGGGGGGGGCGGAAGGGGAGGGAAGGTCAGCGACATGGCCGGAGAAGGAGCATGGGCGCGCGTACAAGCAAGCGCATCGGCGTACCGAGTAGCGAGTGGCGATCTCCGGGCTGTCGTCGGTGTCGACGATGATCAGCTTGCCGCCGTTCTCCGGGACGACGGACTTCAGGACAGGG